AAAGAAAGAAAAAACTATACTATTTGTATTAGAACCAAAGGAATAGCATCACCTCTTAAAACAATACCATATGAGCCTCACAAACAGAAAGAAAAAAGGCAAATCAATACAAAAGTAAAAGATGATGCTCGCATTAAGAATGCTTTTAATCCAAGAAGAAAGTGTCCTTTATACTTAWTAACTAATAGAACAGGCCAATCAAGGATGCATCATTGAATAAGTTTTAAGAGTGCTGATTTTGCCTTCCTCTTATTCTCTTAGTACTACAGGCTTAGTCTCAGTTCTGAAATTAGGGTCTTTCTCACATGGTACTGAGTTGTGGCTAACTCAATTAGACCTTCAAAAATACCCCCATAGTYCCATTGAATTTAGCAATCTGCAAGTAAACAACTGATACTCATTTACAAGAAGAAATTCAGCTAGTCTGAGGACTAATAAAACTAAACAGCAATGAATMTTTGACACTGGACAGCAAATACTCTGAAAGACACAGAAGAAATACGTGTTTAAAAAAGACCTGAAAATCCATTTTGTGACTTCTAAAATACCATTTAGCATATTCAAGGTTATCTTTGAGAAAAACTATGCAAAATCAAAAAGATTATGAAGGTCTTTATTTGTCTCCTTGTTTAAGCTTACGATAACTACTTGTGTAACATACTGATACTATCTTAAAACATGACCATGACAATGGTGCTGTCCCCAGGGTCAGACCACAGATAGCATTATTCTTGCAGCCTGCAGCCTGTGAGCACTTTCAGTAGTTAGTTAGCACTGAGAGACAAACAKGCATATCTTTGCCTGTTTAAGTTTGTATTGAGAAATAGGAAAATTAAATAAAAAAACCTTGCAAGCTTTACATGCAAAACTAACTTGCAACTTTTGTAAGACAAATTACTGAGAGTTGTAAATATGTCAAGCATTTAGTGCCATGGTGCACTGAAAAACAGAGCCATGATTGGACACAAGGCAATCATACAAAACATGAGCAGCAGCAGCAGACCTGTATTGCTGTGGCGTGGTCAATCTCTGCAAGAACCTAAAATATGTAAAGAAAAATTATATCCACCTTTAATACCACAGAAATGTAGAAACTGTAAAAAATTATGAAGAACATACTGTAAACAACTTTGCTGAACAGCCTCAGTAAGAAAGGGCACTGGCATGTGACACTTCTCCCAMTGTTTCTATCTTTTTGATGCTTCTCCAGTGAAAACTGAACAGCATTTGTTCAGACTCAAAATACAAGATTACTGGCCATTAAATGGAAAAGCCTCCTATAAATTACTTTTATGACTTTTCATTTCTAAAAATGCCTCTTCTCTCACCTGTAACTCTGAGTACCTCCACTTAAACTACTCTAGGATGTAAAGGGAAAGGCCTCCTTAATGAACCAGATGCTCTCCCAGACACTGATCTCAAAAGAAAAAATAACGAAAAAGAAAAAAAGCAAGGCCTAGTGTTTCCAAACACATGCATTCCCACTATAATTTTATATGACATGTTAAGACATACCACAGGCTCAAGAGAATTATTTACTGTTACTTTTAGGATGAATGCAATCTCAATTATTACCCCTGTATGTGTTTTAGCAACAACCAAATATGYGTAAGGCACATCAGTGGGACCGTTTATATTGTTTTAAGCTGAGTTTTTATCATCAGAATGCAAAGTTTCTTCCAGATCAGGGAAGTTACACAATGCTAGGCAGCTAAAGAAATACTGCAAATCCTGTTTCAATTGTCTTCAAAATTTGCGAGGTTCCTGAAACACAGAAAATGCACTGATCTTTGTGGGGGAATTAAAAGGTAATATTTATTTCTTTCTTCATCTTAATAATGTTTCTTTTTTCAATCTTGGAGTCAGATAGCAGCTTTTTGGCCAAGAGTAATGTCTGCTAAACTCAGAAATTAAATTAGGAATTCTTTTTAGCCCRTTCTAATTTTCAGTGCTCTGAAGTATTCATGTAGTCAGTCCCCCTGGAGTTCAGGCTTCCATATGCATTGAGATAACAGGAAAATTAACATGTTAGAGGGAAGGGGATAACAAGGGGATAACACTCCTGCAGCTTTCTATATTTTGATGTGAGTGAGACACAAACAAGGCTACCAGAAAGGTCAGTGCACTAAATGTTTTTYAGTGGAACTGATAGGAAGATACAYTCTGGTTGCTAATCAGSTTGAAACTCAGGTTTGATGACTTAAATTAGACTGRAAGATGCAGTTAGACTTTGTMATGGGAAATACATGGATACATCTCTGTACTAACAATCATTTAGTTCATGCTGTGCTTTATAACTGTTCGAGCACAGACACAAATCTGTGAGTTGTGGGCTCTTCAGCTCCTTCACAGCTGCCCAATCTCCTGGTCATACAGTAYCCTGACCCTGGGATGCTACTGAATCTCTGGGGTATTTTATGAAAAGTTGGAACTTTGCAAGCAAAGGGCCAGATGCTGCTGTTCCTTCATTTTTGAGCTTCAGTTATTCCATCTCTATAAAGACTATATCACAAGAGCTTGAATGACTTTTGATCAGACCCCTTAAGATGCTGAATTTTCAGGTAAGAAATAGTCTCATTTTACGATGTACTCTCAGTGAGAAGCATCACTAGGAATACTGAAAGCCTGCCACCACAATAATGTCATAATGTAAATATAATCCCTGTTATATTTGTGTTGTGCTTAATATTTCTGGATATGTGAACCTGGAAAATGTTACATCTCAGCTGTCAAACCTTTGAAGGACTGTCTCTTCCTATTGTCTAGAGGATGAAAGTTCTGGACAAAGAAAAGGTGCCATCTTACCAGGCAATGTGTCTCCAGAACTTTTTTCCTACCACTTATGAGTAATAGATGGCTTATTGAGCCAAGAGAACTGGTGCCAAAATCACCGTACTCAGGGAAGTTGGACAAGGACACTGAAGTTAAAACTTGCTATATGAGAAAGATTTCTCATAATAGTCATAATATTTTGTCATTTCTCCTTCCATAAGCCACAAGGAAGAAATAAATTTTACCATATAGATTAAGGAGAGGGATGAGGTTGTGTGGTTTTTTTCTTACTTTTTTCCCCTCGTAGAGCARTTCTACCATTTTACCACTCTGTGTTGCACTTACACTTCCACCCACGTGTGGTTTCAACCTGCAGCACTGCGCGTACGCAGCACAGAGCTGGGGAGGCCGGAACCCGCGGGGCACCAGAACCGCCCGCCCTCACCCACGGGGGTTCCCCGGGCGCGGCCCCGCCGCTCTGCGGGACAGCAACCCCGACCTCGGGCTGGGAGCCGCCCCCGGGGGCGCTTGGCAGAGAGAGGCCCCGGGGACAGCRCCTCCGGCCCGGCCGGGGCCGCCACACTCACCGCACACTCACCGCCCCGACACCGCCTCCGCCGCCCGCCGCCGCCGCTGCCGATGGGGCGGGGCCGGGGCCGCCCGTCCCGCCGCTCTGAGGGGCGGGGAGCGCCCATCCCTCCTGTTCCTCCAGTCCCGGGGCCCGGAGAGCGCCCGTCCCTCCCGTCCCGC